TGGAAAAAACGAAAATCTTATGCTGCTGGTTTTGTTTGTAACTTTATTTATATACATTTTAGCAACACCAAATATCTCTCAAACTGACACTTATATATGTACCTAAACACTTGAGACAGGTTTTGGTGCATTATATACTCAAGTGTGAATGTAGACCATGAAATATGGCAAATTTGTAGAAAATATGCTTCAACTTCACGGATTGGCACTAAGCAAAATTAAACATAAACATTTTAAATTTAGCAAAACCGTGATGTTTTGTACATCAAAATTTTCAGTAGGTACTGTGTAATCACAGAAAGATACAAATATAAGCACACTTTGGCCCAAGTTGGCTGAAATGACTCGAAATGCTACACTGTCCCCTTGTTTTGGAATGCTGCCAAAAAAAATTACAATTCTACCACAGATTCTTTACAGCTCAAAATCACCTTAAATTATAAGACAGCGCATATTTACTCATCGGTATCATCCCTATCACTATCAGAGCCATCATCCCATGTAGGTCTTCTGTTTCCTGTGAAACATTTGCACAATTTTGGCACCGACATAAATCAGTACAAGACAGTCTTGCAGACATACAGGAACATCTTCCAGACTCACATTTGCTATGCTTGCAACTGCAGTGGACCGCCTGCAACACACTTTCAGGGGCAGGATTTCTAGTCATCCAGGTCACTGTTAACTCACCATCCTCGAGGTGCCATCCATTGCCGACGGGTGAAGGGGCACACATTATACCTTTCAGAAAATGTCTCATTATGGCTGCTTGGTAGTTTGCCCTTTTCCAGTGTTGGTACAGGGCGTCACTTGTAAGGGGCATGGATAGTTCTAGAAAAGCTGACGATGCCATACAGAATGCTTTGTATCTTGCATCGTTCACATTTTCGGCAGATGACTGCCCATACAGGTGGCACACATGTGCAAAGTAGCTCAAGGCTAGACTGGTCTAGGTTAAAACTGCTACCCAGATTTGTAAAAGCAGTCAGATATTCCTCTTTCTCACAAGCAACAGAAAATGCCTTTCTTTTGCCTTTGCCATAAAAGGCACTTGTAGAGTAACAACCTGAGAAGGTATGGATCCCAATAAGTGCCAAACAGACACTTGTGCCAAGAGCTGACGACACCTTAGCTAAGTCAATGAGCCTTGTTTTGTTGCCAACCCCCGTGAAAAAATACAACCTACATGGTAAATCTGGCTGCAGACTTAAAGCAATCACTGCCACATCAGCATCAGGGCTCTTGATGACTACAGTTTGATGTTCCTGTGCAGCATGTTGTGCATGTAAAAACACCCTGGTGTCACATTCCTCATGATCACATGTCAGATCTTCAACAGCACTGAGAGTATGTAAATCCTCCATTACAGTCACGCAGTGACACAGGTCTCCATGTGCTATGTACAAGCTTAAGTCCTTTCCCACAGTGGTAAGATCAGCCTCTCGCCACACAACATAGAGGAATTCTGCCAGTGCTTCTTTGTTTGTTCCATCTGATATAAACTTTTTCCATTGTGTTGATGTCTTATGATCCCGTCCATAAATTTTCACCAGTTGTGTACCACCACCAGCTCTACGTGACCGTTCTAGGTTTTTAATACTCATTTTTGGATACTGGTCAATCACAAAGTTTATCCGTGTACAGTTTGTTTCAGAGAAAGTTTGACTATGTACTGCAGTACGGTCTCTGCAAGCTCTCCAAAGGTACTTGGTATTGACCGAATGGCTTGAATGACTGCCATGCCATCAAAGAAAATAGCTCCACTGATCACTCCATTGATGGATCCTGGGGCAACAACTTTGGACTCAATGAGTATGTCTTGCAGTCCTGCATCTCCAAACCTTTTTCCTAGAATGCTCAGGTAGGACATGCATGTGTGAAATTCACCTAGTCTAATCACTTTACGCTGAGTAAAGTCATCATCTTTCCAGCAGATTTGCTGAGCTTTGGCATATATAGCTTTGTCAAAAACTAACACTATATGGTCCAGTTCTAGCTGATTATGAATTTGGACACTTCGCTTCAGAATTGTGTTTACTGTCGACATCTCTGTTGGTGAAGCCTCAATGACTGGAAGATAATACAGTGCTGACTTTTGCAGAGTGCCATCACCTTGAAGTAATGTATGTAAACCTGTCCAGCTTGGTATTGTGCATCTTTCAGCATCTATGGACTTTACAAAAACATATGCCAGTTCAGTTTGTACAGCAGACACCGTGTTCAATTTGTATGTGTCCGCCTGTAATGGAACACTTTCCTGATGAAACAAGTTATGTGGTCCTTGTCTAATAGACTGATGGTACTGTTCGACAGGGATCCTAGGGGGTACTTTCAATGAGGGTTTTCCCTTCTGTAGTGGTTGTCTGTTTGTTGTTGACACAGGTTCAACTACAGAACTTTGCAGCATAATCCCATTTGTGTGGTGGGTAGTTCTACGACCTGACAGTGTCTCCTCCGCAAAGTCAATATTGTCCCACACAAGTACTGTAGGAACCTTCTTTGAGAATCCCTTTGGTATTTTGTCTCTGCCTCTACTAGTTGAAGTTGGGCAAGGCTAGTGTCTAGACTGACAACTGTGTCCCATGCTGCACAATGTCCTAGTCTATTTAGAAGTGACACAAATTGTGATGAACCTGTTAAATGGCGAACCGTTAGACCAAGACACAATGATTTAGGGGTCTGCCTCCGACCCTTAGATGCAAGATACACAATGTCTTGACAGATACATATCACTTTTAGGTTCAAATCATCTGGAATATCAACATAATAGGCCAGTGTTGGTTCCTCAGTTGCACCAATAATCCAGGAAATCAGATTGTACAGTTCAATTGGAACGACAGATTTTGCCTCGCTCACATTTAGATCATCTGATGTGGGTGGCCACGGGCATTTCATACCGGGAGAGTCACACAGAAGCATCTTTAATATTAATGCCGCACTGTAAAGTGTCCTCGTGTCCTCTGCAGTATTGATGGAGGCCATTGAACTTGGTCTTTGTGGACCAGCTTTTGCACTAGCCCTGTTTTCACAGTCACTTTCGCTAGTTACCTCAGTTGACTCTGTTGTTTCTGTACCTGAGGGATGAGGTAGCCTGTCTATCAGCTTATCTGCAGACAATGTCTCAACGAAAACCATCTCACTTATGTTGCGCTTCTTGGGGTAGTGAAACACCAGCTGGGGGAAATCACGGGCCAACCTCCTACTTTTGAAATGTGAAAATGTGAGGGAATTATTAATTAATATTTATTAATATAAAATATTACTAACTCACTGTTCTTCTGAGGTCACAGTAACTGATGCACGAGACTTTGTCAAGAACCTGGTGTACTGTCTATAACAGGCCTTGTGGTATCGCACCTCCAGAGACACAGTCTTTGTCTCGAATATCCACAAGAATGCTAGTGTCTTCCTTCATCTCAGCAGCTTTCAGCAAATTGCCTGTAAATAAATAAATACTAATTAAACTAATAAAAAACTGTGTTAAGAGTTAAACAATATTGAGTGTTCTGGCTGTAGCTGTATGCAAAACAATGCAAATCTGTCTCTGACTGTAAAATAAACATTACATAAATTATGTAATTGTAATTGAAAGTTATCCATGGTACCCAGCTTAAGGGAATAAAAGTTCAAACGTGTGTGTTTGTGTGTGTTTTGTTTTTACCTACGTGCTGACGTTTCTGCCTGTGAAAGATGGTCCTTCTGGCGTTTGCCTCCCACAGTAATGTACTTGTCCGTTTTCTTACAAATTATGCACAAGGCAGAAAGCATTGGACCAGCACAAGCTACTGGCAGGCCGGTCCTGGACCTAAGTTTTTTTGCGGGACATTGTCAAACTCGATTTCTAGACAATGTTTGTATGTTTCTGCTATTCTCCGATTCTCACCTTACAAAAAAGCCTCCGTTTGACGCAGTTTATGAATGTATCCCACCGTGTGCGTGTAAAATCCTTTGTTTCTTCTTTCTTTATGGACATGAGATGTATGTAGCATTGTTTAAAATACTTTTTACAGACTTTTGAAGGAGGTCTGGCCGTAATTTCCTCTTCTTCACTACTCGATGTTGACAACAAGGGCGCAGACATCTTGGACTAATGTTTACCTCTCGTCCCAAAAAGCAGCCACCTTATTGGTCTAGCGGGAAGCACGTGACGCAAAGCCTAATCACTGACGATTAAAATATGATTACGCGAGGAAAGAAATATTTCCGACTTTAAACAGTAATAAAAAATAAACTGCAGGATTAGACATGGAGAACTTTTATTTTCACGGCCAAAAGCAATAGATCTTTTTTTTGGAATGAAAAGAATGTAGTGCCCCATATATGGGAACGGGATTAAACGTTAAACGTCTTCACCTTACGGCCTATAGGGGCTGTGTGCTCCGTATAACGTCGATTCAAGAGCACGAAGAGATGATGTAATGCAGCGATACCCGCAATTGCCCCTACAGGCCGCCAGGTGTCACCCTGTCACTACACGAATTAAGAGATCAAAGAGGAGGCACGTGAACGACAAACAATTATGGGAAAGACACAGATCGTCGGGGAAAAAATTAACCCGTAAAAACTACGTTTTTCACTATAAATCCTTTATATGCGTGGCGGCTAGTGTCCTCTCGTCCTCTGGCTTGAGATGGCTGCCACCTATGGGTCAGATGATTGCATGCCACCATTAAGCAATTGGTAATTGAATATAATTTATTTTTCCCTAAAAAGTGTAAAATTTTGGAAAAATGTTTTCACGAAAATAAATTGTCACGCACAACGAGTCTGTGTGCAAAATGTCAGCTCGATTGGATCACGGGAAGTGGGTTAAAAACTACCGAAAGATTTGCACGGTCGTAAGCGCGCAAGCAAGTGAACTTAATATAAAGGATTAAAAAAATCTAAAGTGTTAAAACCGACAGGGGAGCGAGCGGTGAACGCCGTGAGAAAACCCCCAACGAGACACGAGAGACAAACGTCGAGATCCCGAGCGGAGGAGGCCGTGCCAGCGAACACGACTAAGACGCAGTGGGAGGAGGTGGTGGAAGAATCGGCGGCGGCGTCGTCGACGTTGAGAAGTCGCCGCGGCGTGTGGAGGCCACCGCCACCGCGGACGAGAAACTGTGCGGGGGGAGAGGAGGCAGAGCGAGGTGACGGTGAAACACCCGTCACCGTAACGGTGAAACACCCGTCACCGTGACGGTGAAACACCCGTCACCGGGCAGAGGCCTCGTTGGGGCCGTGAGAAGTGCCAAAGTGATCTTCTTGGTTCTTTCGGTAAAGTCACGTAGAAAGGAAATAATAAAATAATAAAAATAAAACATAATAAAATAATTCTCACGACGTTTCGGCCACAACGCAAGCAGCCGTCCTCAGGTGAAGAACAGGTCTGTCGAGGCGACAGCATCTGAGGACGGCTGCTTGCGTTGTGGCCGAAACGTCGTGAGAATTATTTTATTATGTTTTATTTTATTATTCTATTACTTCCATTCTACGTGACTTTACCGAAAGAACCAAGAAGATGAATCCCTGCAGTCACGAAAGCTTTACATCGAAAGGCCAAAGTGGCCGTGACGTTTGTACCGCTCGCCTCTCGTTCTGTGTTTCTATTTTACCGGGAAAGGCCCCTGCCGGAGCTGCTGTTCGACGCTTTTTTCGGAAGCGTCCCGGCCACCGCAAACGACGGCTCGACAAAGCGGTTAGTGCCATCATCAACATCATCACGTCTCCCCAGTGCTAGCGATGTTCACTACACACCACACCGGGTACTCATTTGAGGCCGAGTCGACCTAGGAGAGGCCCAGGACCAGTTCAGAAAATCGTCAGGAAGAGGGGCCTCTGGCACAAGATTATTCAATACAATTTTCATTCGTGATTTTGTCGTGATTAATCGAAGGTGGAGGGGTGACCAGCCCCTCGTACCCATCCAGAGCCCCCATTTAGCCGCTGTGGTGGTTACAAACGCCATGAAGGGAAAGGCCAATTTAAATTGGCCCTCCCCCCACGGCACTGCCCACCACAGCGTTCCAGTCCGGCACCACGAGGAGGTAGGGGGTTGTTCTTTTGCTTCCCACACAACAACAACAACAACCGCCATTGGCCACTAAGTGGCGGTGACGTCACCACGATGTTTGTGCCAGGCCATGTGCACCTTGAGGCCACGTGAAGTGTCGAACGCCCGCTGGCAGGAGGTCACGGGGCAGACCCAGGTGCCTACGGGTCGACTAACTGAGATGACCGAGATGACTGGCTGATGCACCACCTGTGCCCCCTACTGTGCCAACTTGCTGTGCTTTAGCCACCCGGCGCTCACACACACGGACGCACGCACACACAGACACACGCACACACGCACGCACAGACACACGCACAGACACACAGACACACGCACAGACACACGCACACACGCACACACGCACACACAGACACACGCACACAGACACACGCACACACGCACACACGCACACACACACAGACACACACACAGACACACAGACACGCACACACACACAGACACACACACACAGACACACACACAGACACACACACACAGACACACAGACACACACAGACGCACCTGTAGTGCGGCGCGTCGGTGACGGCGGTGACGAGCTGGGTGAACGAGGGCCTGCAGGAGCTCTCCGCGTGCCAGTAGCTCAGCATGAGGCGACGGAGACACATGGGGCATCCCATGGGACGTGGCAGTCGCCAGCCACCTTCCACTGCCTCCAGCACCTGGGGGCACACAGAGACCCATAGACTACTCATAGAGACCCACAGACTCACCACACAGAGACTCACAGACTCACCACACAGAGACCCACAGACTCACCACACAGAGACCCATAGACTCACCACACAGAGACCCACATAATCACCACACAGAGACCCATAGACTCACCACACAGAGACCCACAGACTCACCACACAGAGACCCACAGACCCGCCACACAGAGACCCACAGACTCACCACACAGAGACCCACAGACTCACCACACAGAGACCCGCAGACTCACCACACAGAGACCCACAGACCCGCCACACAGAGACCCACAGACTCACCACACAGAGACCCACAGACTCACCACACAGAGACCCACAGACTCACACAGAGATCCACAGACTCACCACACAGAGACCCACAGACTCACACTACAGGGCTGCTGGTGCTGAACTCACGTCCCGGTTGCTCATGTCCCAGTATGGCCGCTCGCCGTGTGTCATCACCTCCCACATGACGACGCCGTAGCTCCACACGTCGCTTGCCGACGTGAACCTGAGCTGGGAAATCGCCTCCGGGGCGGTCCAGCGGATGGGGATCTTCCCCCCCTGGGGGACATTCACAATTTGATTTCGCCCTCGGCTTTCGCGGCCGATGTCGTCAGTACGCGGCGAAGGGTTTGGTATTAGGTTTTGACCCTTTCAACTGGTACAAAACTGACACCTTTATACAAGGCATCATGTTTGCAATAACCACAACACAAGCAGTCAAAATGCAAACAAAAAGAAACAACTCTGGTAATGATATGCACTGTCCTCGAAGCTGATTGGTCCACACCCGAGACAGCTTTTCTTAGAGTCTAGTCTCCATTGGTGTTGGACCAGATTGCGCCAAAAGGCGCACAACTCAAAGACAGCGCACTATCAGAGTATTGAGAGCTCGGGGTGAAGCATTTACACTATGAGACTTCTCCTTTACCAGTGGCAAAATAAATTATTAGGTTTTTACCCTTTCAACTGGTACAAAACTGACACCTTTCTCCACCCACCTTTACCCGGGTGGTGTACACCGCCTCGGAGTGGTCGTCCGGCAGAAGCATCCGCGAGAGTCCGAAATCGGACACCTTGCACGTGAGCTCGCCGCTGACGAGCACGTTGCGGGCGGCCAGGTCTCGGTGCACGTAGCCCACGCGGGACAGGTGCCGCATGCCGCATGCCACGTCCCGCAGCATCCCCACCAGCTGGGGCAACAGCAAGTCGCCCTTCTTCTTCTACCACGTGGTCCAGGCCAGAGGGCGGGGAGGGGGGAGGAGGGAGAGGGGGGGGAGGAGAGGGGGTGAGTCAGCTTTCTTCACACAGAGGGCTCGTTCACACTCACAGCTGCTGAGTCAGACTTTCTTCACACAGAGGGCTCGTTCACACTCACAGCTGCTGAGTCAGACTTTCTTCACACAGAGGGCTCGTTCACACTCACAGCTGAGTCAGCTTTCTTCACACAGAGGGCTCGTTCACACTCATAGCTGCTGAGTCAGGCTTTCTTCACACAGAGGGCTCGTTCACACTCACAGCTGCTGAGTCAGGCTTTCTTCACACAGAGGGCTCGTTCACACTCACAGCTGCTGAGTCAGCTTTCTTCACACAGAGGGCTCGTTCACACTCACATCAGCTGAGTCATGCTTTCTTCACACAGAGGGCTCGTTCACACTCACAGCTGCTGAGTCAGGCTTTCTTCACACAGAGGGCTCGTTCACTCTCACAGCTGCTGAGTCAGGCTTTCTTCACACAGAGGGCTCGTTCACTCTCACAGCTGCTGAGTCAGCTTTCTTCACACAGAGGGCTCGTTCACACTCACAGCAGCTGAGTCATGCTTTCTTCACACAGAGGGCTCGTTCACACTCACAGCTGCTGAGTCAGGCTTTCTTCACACAGAGGACTCGTTCACACTCACAGCTGCTGAGTCAGCTTTCTTCACACAGAGGGCTCGTTCACACTCACAGCAGCTGAGTCATGCTTTCTTCACACAGAGGGCTCGTTCACACTCACAGCTGCTGAGTCAGGCTTTCTTCACACAGAGGGCTCGTTCACTCTCACAGCTGCTGAGTCAGCTTTCTTCACACAGAGGGCTCGTTCACACTCACAGCAGCTGAGTCATGCTTTCTTCACACAGAGGGCTCGTTCACTCTCACAGCTGCTGAGTCAGGCTTTCTTCACACAGAGGGCTCGTTCACACTCACAGCTGCTGAGTCAGGCTTTCTTCACACAGAGGGCTCGTTCACACTCACAGCTGCTGAGTCAGCTTTCTTCACACAGAGGGCTCGTTCACTCTCACAGCTGCTGAGTCAGACTTTCTTCACACAGAGGGCTCGTTCACACTCACAGCAGCTGAGTCAGACTTTCTTCACACAGAGGGCTCGTTCACACTCACAGCAGCTGAGTCAGCTTTCTTCACACAGATGGCTCGTTCACACTCACAGCTGCTGAGTCAGCTTTCTTCACACAGAGGGCTCGTTCACACTCACAGCAGCTGAGTCATGCTTTCTTCACACAGAGGGCTCGTTCACTCTCACAGCTGCTGAGTCAGGCTTTCTTCACACAGAGGGCTCGTTCACACTCACAGCTGCTGAGTCAGGCTTTCTTCACACAGAGGGCTCGTTCACACTCACAGCTGCTGAGTCAGCTTTCTTCACACAGAGGGCTCGTTCACTCTCACAGCTGCTGAGTCAGACTTTCTTCACACAGAGGGCTCGTTCACACTCACAGCAGCTGAGTCAGCTTTCTTCACACAGAGGGCTCGTTCACACTCACAGCTGCTGAGTCAGCTTTCTTCACACAGAGGGCTCGTTCACACTCACAGCTGCTGAGTCAGACTTTCTTCACACAGAGGGCTCGTTCACACTCACAGCTGCTGAGTCAGACTTTGTTCACACAGAGGGCTCGTTCACACTCACAGCTGAGTCAGCTTTCTTCACACAGAGGGCTCGTTCACACTCATAGCTGCTGAGTCAGGCTTTCTTCACGCAAAGGGCTCGTTCACACTCACAGCTGCTGAGTCAGGCTTTCTTCACACAGAGGGCTCGTTCACACTCACAGCTGCTGAGTCAGCTTTCTTCACACAGAGGGCTCGTTCACACTCACATCAGCTGAGTCATGCTTTCTTCACACAGAGGGCTCGTTCACACTCACAGCTGCTGAGTCAGGCTTTCTTCACACAGAGGGCTCGTTCACACTCACAGCAGCTGAGTCATGCTTTCTTCACACAGAGGGCTCGTTCACACTCACAGCTGCTGAGTCAGGCTTTCTTCACACAGAGGGCTCGTTCACTCTCACAGCTGCTGAGTCAGGCTTTCTTCACACAGAGGGCTCGTTCACTCTCACAGCTGCTGAGTCAGCTTTCTTCACACAGAGGGCTCGTTCACACTCACAGCAGCTGAGTCATGCTTTCTTCACACAGAGGGCTCGTTCACACTCACAGCTGCTGAGTCAGGCTTTCTTCACACAGAGGACTCGTTCACACTTACAGCTGCTGAGTCAGCTTTCTTCACACAGAGGGCTCGTTCACACTCACAGCAGCTGAGTCATGCTTTCTTCACACAGAGGGCTCGTTCACACTCACAGCTGCTGAGTCAGGCTTTCTTCACACAGAGGGCTCGTTCACTCTCACAGCTGCTGAGTCAGCTTTCTTCACACAGAGGGCTCGTTCACACTCACAGCAGCTGAGTCATGCTTTCTTCACACAGAGGACTCGTTCACTCTCACAGCTGCTGAGTCAGGCTTTCTTCACACAGAGGGCTCGTTCACACTCACAGCTGCTGAGTCAGGCTTTCTTCACACAGAGGGCTCGTTCACACTCACAGCTGCTGAGTCAGCTTTCTTCATACAGAGGGCTCGTTCACTCTCACAGCTGCTGAGTCAGACTTTCTTCACACAGAGGGCTCGTTCACACTCACAGCAGCTGAGTCAGACTTTCTTCACACAGAGGGCTCGTTCACACTCACAGCAGCTGAGTCAGCTTTCTTCACACAGAGGGCTCGTTCACTCTCACAGCTGCTGAGTCAGCTTTCTTCACACAGAGGGCTCGTTCACACTCACAGCAGCTGAGTCATGCTTTCTTCACACAGAGGGCTCGTTCACACTCACAGCTGCTGAGTCAGCTTTCTTCACACAGAGGGCTCGTTCACACTCACAGCTGCTGAGTCAGACTTTCTTCACACAGAGGGCTCGTTCACACTCACAGCTGCTGAGTCAGACTTTCTTCACACAGAGGGCTCGTTCACACTCACAGCTGAGTCAGCTTTCTTCACACAGAGGGCTCGTTCACACTCATAGCTGCTGAGTCAGGCTTTCTTCACACAGAGGGCTCGTTCACACTCACAGCTGCTGAGTCAGGCTTTCTTCACACAGAGGGCTCGTTCACACTCACAGCTGCTGAGTCAGCTTTCTTCACACAGAGGGCTCGTTCACACTCACATCAGCTGAGTCATGCTTTCTTCACACAGAGGGCTCGTTCACACTCACAGCTGCTGAGTCAGGCTTTCTTCACACAGAGGGCTCGTTCACTCTCACAGCTGCTGAGTCAGGCTTTCTTCACACAGAGGGCTCGTTCACTCTCACAGCTGCTGAGTCAGCTTTCTTCACACAGAGGGCTCGTTCACACTCACAGCAGCTGAGTCATGCTTTCTTCACACAGAGGGCTCGTTCACACTCACAGCTGCTGAGTCAGGCTTTCTTCACACAGAGGACTCGTTCACACTCACAGCTGCTGAGTCAGCTTTCTTCACACAGAGGGCTCGTTCACACTCACAGCAGCTGAGTCATGCTTTCTTCACACAGAGGGCTCGTTCACACTCACAGCTGCTGAGTCAGGCTTTCTTCACACAGAGGGCTCGTTCACTCTCACAGCTGCTGAGTCAGCTTTCTTCACACAGAGGGCTCGTTCACACTCACAGCAGCTGAGTCATGCTTTCTTCACACAGAGGGCTCGTTCACTCTCACAGCTGCTGAGTCAGGCTTTCTTCACACAGAGGGCTCGTTCACACTCACAGCTGCTGAGTCAGGCTTTCTTCACACAGAGGGCTCGTTCACACTCACAGCTGCTGAGTCAGCTTTCTTCACACAGAGGGCTCGTTCACTCTCACAGCTGCTGAGTCAGACTTTCTTCACACAGAGGGCTCGTTCACACTCACAGCAGCTGAGTCAGACTTTCTTCACACAGAGGGCTCGTTCACACTCACAGCAGCTGAGTCAGCTTTCTTCACACAGATGGCCGTTCACACTCACAGCTGCTGAGTTCAGCTTTCTTCACACAGAGGGCTTGTTCACACTCACAGCTGCTGAGTCAGACTTTCTTCACACAGAGGGCTCGTTCACACTCACAGCTGCTGAGTCAGACTTTCTTCACACAGAGGGCTCGTTCACTCTCACAGCAGCTGAGTCAGCTTTCTTCACACAGAGGACTCGTTCACACTCACAGCTGCTGAGTCAGCTTTCTTCACACAGAGGGCTCGTTCACACTCACAGCTGCTGAGTCAGCTTTCTTCACACAGAGGGCTCGTTCACACTCACAGCTGCTGAGTCAGCTTCTTCACGCAGAGGGCTCGTTCCACCTCACAGCTGAGTCAGCTTTCTTCACACAGAGAGCTCGTTCACACTCACAGCTGCTGAGTCAGCTTTCTTCACACAGAGGGCTCGTTCACACTCACAGCTGAGTCAGCTTTCTTCACACAGAGGGCTCGTTCACACTCACAGCAGCTGAGTCAGGCTTTCTTCACACAGAGGGCTCGTTCACACTCACAGCTGAGTCAGCTTTCTTCACACAGAGGGCTCGTTCACACTCACAGCTGCTGAGTCAGCTTTCTTCACACAGAGGGCTCGTTCCACACTCACAGCTGAGTCAGCTTTCTTCACACAGAGGGCTCGTTCACACTCACAGCAGCTGAGTCAGGCTTTCTTCACACAGAGGGCTCGTTCACACTCACAGCTGAGTCAGCTTTCTTCACACAGAGGGCTCGTTCACACTCACAGCAGCTGAGTCAGGCTTTCTTCACACAGAGGGCTCGTTCACACTCACAGCTGCCATATTATTAACATTTTTTCCCTTTATTAATTCTGACCTTACTCCCTCCCTTTGATGCTGCTAATCCTGCATAATGCACGGGCATAATGACTTTAAACCCCTCGCCAAGCCTCCTACGCATTTCACAAGTAGTGCTAATCGCATATCTGCATTTCCCATAAATATGCTAAATTCCTCTTGATATGCAAATTATCTTGTCAAGACGCTCTTCCCCCTCCATCCCAGCTTAAATAGTCACTCCAAGCCTGGAGCGTGACATTCAGACGCTGTCGCCTCGACGGACCTGTTCTCCACCTGAGGACGGCTGCTTGCGTTGTGGCCGAAACGTCGTGAGAATTATTGTATTATGTTTTATTTTTATTATTTTATTACTTCCCTTTCTACGTGATGACTTTACCGAAAGAACCAAGAAGATATTGACAGATGGTAAAGGTCAAACGTGCAGCACTGCAATGTCTCGCTTATGCCGCCGCTGCCGCCCGAAAGACCTCCGCCGAGAGGGAGCTCAAGATGGTGCTTGGCCTACTCTTCCACACGCACCTGAATGTGGCCCACGCTCCACCACGCCCCGCATGAACACATTGTTACCGGATATCGCCAT